TATTTATCGTTTGTTTGCAGATTCCTTAAATTAATATAAAACTGATGTATACTCGGAAACGACTGGTCTGATTTCCAAAAATGATACAGTGTTAGTACTGAATCATCAAACATTAAGAAAAAGTTGGTAACACCCTCTCGACGACGAGTGATGTAAAACTATTTTTTTTTATAAAAACGTACTGAAAATGAAACTTTTTCAGTAAGTTTTATCGGACCTTCATATATTGACCCGTTCAAAACTTCACACTGTATATGAAAGTCAATTGACAGGTGTACTATGAAAAGTAAGCAGTTTAATTTTGTTAACGATTTCAGATTTGATTCAGATTTCAGATCTATTCAGACTGAAGTGTACAAATAAAGATACATATCGATGATTATTATAAAGTTTCTGTTGGATGACGAGACTGCACTGAGCATTTTGTATGCTTGAGTCGTGCTTGTCTGCAACCCTCCAGAAACATTGTAATTGTACAGTAAATCATTGAATAATGAAAGTGTATAACCACCCAGTACATTATTCAATTGAAGGGAGAGTTAGACTTTATTGAAGAGTGAGATAGTTTCAGGAACTATTTATTATTTTATAAATTTCTTTTGGATTTTTCAGAATGAAATGTTTTGTTTGTTGTTTGTACTTATGGAAATTGGTTATTATCTTCAGTTCATGAGGTAGAAGATTAGGTATACAGTTTCGGCTCAAAATAGAAAATGGTTCTTTTTGTGTGGCTCTTTTTGTACATTGGTATGTAAACTGTGATATTATCCAGTGATCTGGTATTATTTACAACTTCCATGGGGCGATTGAAACGATTTAGGTTATGAAACATCCATTCTAAGCATTGGTAGGCATACAAGCTTCTAATATCAAGTATCTGCGACTGCTCATATAGTTGTGCAGTTGAATGAAGTTTTGTTTTCTGAATATTATTTTCAGGATTTTTCGAGTTTTGTTAAATTATTGCGAAATACACCTCCCCATGCTTTTATACTATACCGTAATATGGATTCAGCTAATGAATAGTAAATTACTGTTACTGTTTTATCATTCAGAAATTCTCTCAATTCATACATTTTTCTAGTTAGCTGTCTGAGTCTGTTAGTCAATGATACAACATGATTTTCCCACCTTCAGTTTTGGTCTATCATAACACCTAAATACTTGATACTATTACATTTCTCAATTTTCGGACAATTATATGTTAAACGATTTTGGCAATTATTCTCGTGTACATGAATACTGTTCTTTACTATCGGTTGATCACCTGCAATCAGAGAAAAATAAATGTATTTAGTTTTTTTTACATTCAAGCTAAGTAGGTTTTGGTCTAGATTGAAAGTTATTTCTCTACGCTCTTCGGATAATAATTCAAGTCAATAATAGAACACACTCTGGGCACCTTTCAACTACGTGAAACAAAAAACATCTCGACGCCAAAAAGAAATCCTCGAAGGAATGCAGACATCGTGTGCGTACTTGGAAAGCGATCGCGTGCAACGCCGGACTACATATCCGTTCGTGCTTTTCCAAGTTTTTCATTTTTATCATTCCCTTACGTAAATGTGTCGAATTTTTAAGAAGCCCGTACGTGCAGAATTCGGCCGATGACGCACTACCGACGTCAAACGGGACGCCGCGGTTACTCCACGCGAGGGTTGGCCTGTCTACTCCTTCAAGATTAAAGAATGCCCCTGAATGTTTCGTAGGGGAAGAGGCGATTTGATTGGCACATAACGGGTAATGGTCTCCCGAAATTGGATTTATCGGATTCATTGATACGGTTCAGGGTTCAGAATCGGAGATTTCGTTCTTTGTCTGTATCGAAATATGACTTCGGCTGTTGGCGTAATGAAAGTTTAGATTGTTTTCCTATTTTAGTCAAAAATGGATATCCGTGTTATGTCCATTTCAGGTCCAGAATATTCTTGCGAAGAAAGGAATGTTCCAAGGAGATTCGTGAACGACAGGCGTATGGATATGCTGAAAGAACGTTCCCTGCTTGAGGCCGACGACGAATATCGCTCGAATACTTTTACAATCAACGCCGGTGTTCCCCAGGGAACTATATTGGAATATATATGGTATATTAACGACTTATTGGAAAACAACAACAATCCAATATATTGCTTTGCTGACGACAGCACACTTGTCTCGTCATTCCATTTGGATTCCAGGACATCGGCAGCGGATACACATCTTCATCGGCATCGGATACACATCTTCATCGGCATCAGGAAGTTGCATATCTTAATGAAGATCTAGAAGTAGTTTCGAATTGGGGTGAAAATAACCAGGTCCACAAAAACCCAGGCATCGGTTTTCTCCAAAAAGATAAATGTCTCCGAACCGGATATGATAATGTCAGGTCAGACAATTCCACTTTCTGCTTCGATAAGTTTGTTGGGGGTTAAAATGGACACCAATCATGGGCACAATCAAGTCGCTGGAATTGCAAAAGCCGCTTCTAAACAACTTTGAACACTGTTCCGAACCAAAAAACTGTACACACCTCGTACATACCCTGAAGCTGCTGGATTCCATCCAGAAAACAACCATCCGCCTGACTGGAGACGCGAACATCACTTGCAACCTTAACCGTCTGGAACATCGAAGAGAGGTTGGAGATTTATCTCTCTTCTACAGATACTTTCACGGGAAGTGTTCAAGTGACTTGGCATCTTTGATTCCACCAAGAGCGGTACATATCAGAAATATGCGATGGACTGTGGCTGCTCATAGTTTTGAGGTTCAACTTCACTGTTCAAGAACCCTTTCACTTGGAGAAGTGCGTTTATGTGGAATAAACTTTCTGAGAACGTTTTTCCAAATGGGTTTAATCTCCAGGGATTCAAATCCAATGTGAATCACTACATTCGTACAGGCACCGCTCTTAGAGCGCCTTGAGGATTTACCTGTAGTGTTTGTGTGGTCCTTAAAAAATATCCGACAAAGTATATCTTATTGATATCAGTAGTTATACGAGAAGTAGATGCAATTTCATATCAGCTGAAATTCCACATGGATATTCTGTGGACGTCCAAGTCAGTGGCTTCATCCTATGGAAGTTTTAGTTCAACATTTCAGTTCAATAATTTAGTACAACAGCACTGACCCTTATCACTGATATTTTCAAGTCGTGGGATGAAAAAAAAATCACTTGTCTCGTTTTGCTTGATTACAGCAAGGCTTTTGACACAGTAGATTTTTATCTTGTGTTGAAATAACTTCAGTTTTAATAGATGTACCTCGGACATTCATCATATTTTGCTTCATTCTATGTTGTTATTGTTTATTTCTTATTATGATGAGTTATTATTATTATCATTATAATTATATCCACATCAGGACTTTATGTAAGATACCCTATGGGAAGTTTTCTAAATAAAATAAGTGAGAATTGATTGGTTTTCTGTGCTGTGAGTAGATGTCAAAAAAGTGAAGTTGGACGGAATCACTTTTCAATTGAAAGCTTTTATTTAATTTGGCTTGTATGTATGTTAACAAATCTTGCAAGTTTAATTTGACCCACTTCCCGGTATCCGATTGATCTGAAATTTTGCATGTTGGTTCAGAACCGATGACAATGCATGTTAATCATAAACGTCACCTGATGCTGCTGCCAGGATCGGGTCCGTACGAGAGATCCCTCGGCGGTAAATAGCAGGGACACGAATTTTTTATGCGCATTCGTTTATAATAGGCAGTTGGTAGGCCCACCATGAAATAGATGCCACATCCAGGGTTTGCTTTAATAAAAAAAATGTTTCTAGAAAAAAAAATTAAATCAAGCTTTTACCTTTAAATATTTATTTAAGTGCCCTAAAAAGATCAAAATAAAATTTTAAATCACATTAACCACATTCATTTATGACTTTACAGAACTTTTATTATAATTTCAATTGGGAATGTTCCTCCTGATGAAAATAAAGTAGTTTTCATGAAAGAGCTCTGAAACAACGCATTTTAAACTTATGATTTCAACCTTTTTGCATTTGCTGTAATAACCCAAATTGAGGAACATTCCCCATTCTGTAAAGTCATAAATGAATGTGGTTAATCTGATTTAAAATTTTATTTAAATTTCATCTGACTGAATATGTAGAGATTTCTTCTAGGCATCTTCTATAATATCAATTCTGTAAAGTCATAAATGAATGTGGTTAATTTGAATTAAAATTTTATTTTAATCTTTTTAGGGCACTTGAATAAAAACTTGTTTTAAAAGTTTGTTTATAATTATTTTATTTGACTGAGCAACTTCACTTTTTTGACATCCACTCACAGCACAATCAATTAATTGAGTAACCAATCAATTCTCACTTTTTCTTCAAAAACTATTAATTCATGCTTGAAACGCAGCCTCAACGCACAGTTCCATAGTCAGATCTAACCTTCATATTTTTTGCCGAGTTTTGGGAATATGGTAGAAATGTTGGTGCAGGCGGTCCACCGAAACCAGCAAAATTTTGAAAGTGGTCTATGAAACGACAAGTTTGGGAACCTCTGCAATGAAAATCTTCTTACAATTTCTATAAAAACGGTTTATGTTACTTTATATGATTAAGTTGAAAAACTGAAATTGTTGACACTTTACCTTTTTATCTTGTTTACATACATATTTAATTTGTTATTCTTGGCAAAATGTTGAATACATTCGCTTCATATCATTATTGAATTGTTTTTTTCTCCCTGTTCATCGAAACAACTTTGAATATTATTGGAGTTTAGTCCCAACACCAAAACGTTATTTTCAACACCTCAACACGTGTTTCAATCACCAAGTGAACATTCTTCAAGAGAAAGTTCAATCTCTCTCTTGAAGATGATCACTTGGTGATTGAAACACGTGTCGAGATGTTGAAAATAACGGTTTGGTGTTAGGATAGACCTCCAGTAATATTCATTACCACACCAAAGGTTCCAAACAGTGCATTACAAATGTATGTATTTACTTTTTCGAAATTACTCTTTGACAATAACGTTCCATTTTTTTTCAGACTGTGAATCTCTCATAAGAAAAATGTTAGTATTAGAACCAAATAAAAGGTACAGCGTACAACAAATCAAGAAACATCGGTGGATGCAAATGGGCGTGCCTCCAGCGATGCCTCCAACCATCGTAGTTTCCAACTGCCAACCCAACGAACAGATCCTCCGACTGATGCAGAGCTTAGGAATTGATAGTTCAAAAACTAGAGAGGTGAGTACAATAAATGTCTTCTGAAATCCACACGAAGGTGAAAAATACTTTGACCTGCTGGATTTTTTGAGGTCCGTAGATATCATCTTTGAGATTAAGTTTCTGACATATGTGTACATGACATTTCGACTCCAGGTAATGATGTTTTGTTTTCGCCGCGGGTTTGACAATAATTAACTACACTGATGTACAATTAAACTCAATTTTATTTCACTGCTACACTGACAATATACAGTTTAATAAATCTAATACGATCTTATTAGACCTTACTTGGTCACTTTGTATCGCACTTTCAACTAAACTTCCCCATCTGCCTGTTGGTAGTGTTTATATATCATTGAGGATACACTACAAAAACACACATTTGTCTATTTTCCACGATATCGACGTCGGAAATGCAGGAACTCGTAAGTGACAATGTGATGATTTTAAAGGAGAACCAAAAAACCGTACAGCTTCACATTCAAGACGTGTTGTATTAATTATCTCGTGAATTAGGATTACTTTTTGTTGGAAAAACGGAATGAGCAATTAATTTTCATAGTAGTTTTGACTTTTAGATAAATGAGGGTAGTTACGTGGTAATGCTTTTGCTGAAAATTCACTTACGAGTTAATGTCAATCTTGAAATATTTATATGAAACAACTAGTAAAAGCAATATTTCATGCACACCACTATCACGTTGCACCCTTACGCACGTTGGAATACAAGTTACGAGGTATTGCATAGACAAAATAGCGCGAAAATATTACGAGGTAATGTTTTCTTCATTTTCAGCCGTTCTAGAATCTTATCAGCTTCCATCTTTGATTGATAGATGCCGCCACTTATTCTAAAGACAAAACATAAAATAACTCATTTTTGAGAATTTTGTCAGTTACGATATCCTGCGTTTCCGCCGTCGATATTTTTTTATTGTTGACTAGTTTTGGCTATTACACCATTTTCAAAACTAACTGATTACATTTAAATCTGAGTAATTTATACCTAAGTTGCCTATACTATCATAAATACTTTGGTACCTACATTTTGTATACCTGTAATATCCATGAACATAACAAAAAAAAGCTTGATACCATCGTTAATACAAGTCGTCAATCAAAGAAGTTTATATATCATAATGGAAATCTCTGGGAGCCGATAGAGAAGTCTCTGGAAGTCATTAGGAACAACCAGTAATAATAATAATAATTCTTCAATAATATTGGAGACCTTGGCTTATCAAAGCGCCTGACGTTCGATTTTCTCAGGTTGAGTGGGCTGAAGTCGGAATCTGAGGGGTTCATCATGGCTTTCCAGGATGGTGTATTCAACACCTTAGTCTACCCCGCAGTCGCGTGATGGGAATAGAGGTTCCTGACACAAGGTGCAGGGACTGCTGCGAGGCGCCCGAGACCCTAATGCACTTGATATCAGCATGCGGTCTCGGCTTATATCCATCGACATAACGCGGCCCTAAGAGTGCTATATTATCATTCACGGCACTCTTACGGTATTGACGAGACACCGGTGTTGCCCTACGCTCCGGAGGATATTGAATCCGTTGTGGGGAACGAGAAGTGCGGAATTTATTGGAACTATTCGTTCCCCACCCTCAGGCTCATACAAGCTAATAAGCCTGATGTAGTCCTTCTCGACCACCAGAGCAAAACGATATTTGTCGTGGAGTTCCTGGCGAGACGAATATCGTCAGAAAAGAGGAGGAAAAACGGATAAATATCGAGATTTTCTCTTCGAACTCCACAGACTCTATCCAGATCACTCTGTCAAGATGGTTGTTCTGATTATTGGAGTCCTTGGTGGATTGATATCCTCTCTACTCTCGAATCTTGAAATCATACCGGCTTGCCGCACTAAGACAGAAATCTTAGCCGCACAGATGCAGAAGGCTGTCATTCTTGGCTCAATGCCCTTGCTCAGGGCACATGATTCTCGGACCCAATGATCACTTACCCCACGGTGTGGGGAGTGGTCATTGGTTGATAATGCTGGCGCACCCTTCCGAATGTATGGGGGGATAGGGCCTGACCAGCACATACTACTGTGAAAAAAAAAATCCATATTCAAAAAAATACAATAAATATTAGAAATCAAGGTTCATATATGGAAATAAAGGGCGAAGTTTATTTTCTGTTGTGTAAACACTACAGAAAATATTCTGTTTCTAATGTCACTATCGTAACCTTCATCCACTCATCCAAGATCTTCGACTGTTTTCCACATCCAAGTTATCGTTGAGGCAGTGGATAGCATAGCTAACTATGTTAGTATTGAATAGGTTGTGCCAGTGTTCTGTTTCAGGGTCAATGATATATTCTATGATAGGGCATTACCTACATTGATGACCTAAGAAATAAACTTTTAGTCTTAGTCAGTTATTCTTGCTGCTTAATGTCTTCATGTATCAAGTTATTTTTGAAATTCATGGGAGTAAAGAAAATTTTTAATTTCATTCTGACATTGGGCTACTTGTGGAAGTAGTCAGACAAAGGTTGTCTGACTATTTGTCTTTGATTTCACTGTTTTTTCAGTCTATCCGTTTGGGAAGCTATGATCACCATGCAGCTATCTACTATCTGCTCCTCGACAAACTAAGGAGTCAGTTAGTAGGCGGTGAAACCCAAACAGGTGTACGGGAGGTCCAGAGGCGGAGACCGTCAAACATTGCGGAGCAAGCTATGCGAAAAATCGGACGAGCGAGCACTAGCGAAGACTGCCGAAGGCTACTCCAGCATTCCATTACCGCTCCCACTGCCAGTAATAGTAAAATTTGCAGCATGCCAAGAAGTTGCGACACGCACGGTATCGATGCCGCTAGGTTACTGGCTGCCACCAACAGTGAGGATGCTTTGAAAATTTTAAACCAAGCTAGTAGCAAAACTACTTTCAGCATGTGCAACGAAGCCACCAAGCTAATGTCCACCCTCCAGATGTCAGCCATTTCCTCGGCTGCGGCCGATACGACCGTGTTCAAAGATTACAGTCACCAAGCACATCCATACTCATATGTTCCAGATACATTTTGTACCCAACAATTCCCGGTACCCGAGAACAGGGGTTCCATAGGGAGATTTTGTGCTAGGTGAGTTCATAATTATTTCTATCCCGATTTGTATTCGTCTGTATCATATTTTTGCATTTATCTTGCTTTTTTTCAATAAGTATTTCTGTGAATCCTTTGGACCGTATTCCATTTTCCACTTTTACATATTTACATCAGTAATTTGCCAATACTTTTTTCACAGTGGCTATCGGAGCGCCGAGATTCAAACTCAGTATTCCAGCTCAACAGACGAGGGAGTAGAGACTGATCTCGAGGAACACCAGCCTCGTTTAAGCTATGCATCGTCTAGTTCCTCAAGTGGCGTGATGACCAATTTCAACACATCGAAAAGTCTGAGCCAAAACTTAAGCTGTGATAGCAACTTCGAGAGCTTAGAATATCCCCTATCCGAATCCAGCGAATTGGCCAGTAGCTTGCCCAGCTGTACCTCGAGTGAAAACAAACCTGAGGTCACTGTGACCGGAACTCGAGCTTCCCATAACTACTCTCTGACCCCTAAAACTGCGGTGAACAAGCACAATCCGCTGGTGCATATGTCAAGTCTCAAGACCACGCGAGCCATCACAAGGTCTCCAGTAGATTTCAGAGAAGGCCGTAGAGCTAGCGACGGTCTTGTAGCCCAGCAGGTTGCGGATTCCTCTGGTAAAGTAGTTGCTTTCAACTCGCAGAAGTTTAGTGAGAAACGCAAGGCAAAAGGTGTATTGGATATGCATCTGGTACCACGAGAGACTCAGAGGCAGTATTCGCCTAGAGAAGCTGCTGAAGACATTTCTCAAAGACAGAACCAGCACAATCAGTACTTGCAGCCGAGGCCAAACAAAAGGATTAGCCTTCCGGATAATTTCAATTACACGAATCCTGCCAGTGAGTCGGTTCAGCTACAAACTGCCATGCAGCATAGGTATGTATTTGATAATATTTATTGTATGATAAAATGAGGTAGGTACACAATATTTTTTCTGAAATTTCCCATATTTCCTGAAGAATGGTATGGACTCAAGTCCTAAATTTTTTTTGCTGAGATTCCAGTTCTGTGTCCTCAAGATGAAGACTGTATAACTGTTGGAGGCTTTGATTCAGAGGTCATTTCCAGAATGCTCTGACTTTCAAAGTCGACCAGTAGTCTGCTATGCTTCTATTTTATTCCTTCTTCAAGCATATATGTTTCTTGGCATCATTGAATTTATAGGTTCATAGAACGTCTCACTTCAGTCTTGGAAAATATTTCAGATTGCTCCAGCAAAAGCGCCAAATCCTTCAGAAGCAGTGTGCAATGTCTCACCAACCCAGTCCCGCACCAAACTTAGATCCCAATCATTCCCTATCAAGAAGGCAGATGCTCCGACAGGCTAGTTACAAGATAGCTCAGCAACAGCCTGTGTTACCTCCTCTACCGCTCTCAGAAACAGAGAGTAAGGACTTGATGGCATTTCAAGCTCTGGTGGAGAATCCTGGTGAGTCGTGGAACTGCTTATCCAGTAATATTCCGAATGCCTGCCAGATTTCTGAACCTGTTTCTTTGCCGACTACATCTTGGCAAAATGCGGGCAACACTTGGAATCAGGTACAGGTGCAACGTTTGTAGTGCACCAAAATTTTTGTGTTAGTGCTTAGTTTTATAGGCATTAAATAGATGTTTTTATATACCACGTTCCAAAGACGTGAAAAAATATAGTTACATAAGTGAATCGTAGTTGTCTTGCTATATGATTGTAGCATGAAAATCCGGTAGGCACTGGTAGCAAATCACATCTGGCAAAAGTAATAAATTCATTCTGTATTACCAATGTTTTGAAAAGCATGAACAAATTGTAGGAAAATATTTCTTGAGAATTAAGTTAGAAAGGCATTGAAAGAAATCTACTAATTTATTTACTAATTGTTCTTTTAAGATTTATGAGACTTCAGGATCAGGGTCCCTTGCAAAGCCTAGCTTTGACATCAGCAGCCAAATGGAAATAGATTTCTGTCTCTCTGCAGCTTTCACTACAAAAACAAGTAACTGGGTAAAACCCAAGAGCTTTGCGATTGTGATCGTTCGTATACTTGGAGTAATGAAAGAAAACAGATGCGTCAGCAATGTGTGTATTTTTGAAATCCACCAAAAAGTAACCCATACTCCAATTCTGAACCAATTACTTAGTCTGAATTATCAGATGTTCACAGTTGTATAGTTGTGAGGACAACAAACTATTTCGTTAGTATGAAAAAAATTGAAGCCGTAGAATCGATAGTACTGTCATCAATTTGGTCTCAAATTGCTCACGACTCTCTTTTCGATATACCGAGTATTAGCTATTATCCAAACAATAGCTCCAGCTGATCAAACACAAATGTTACTATTTTTTTATTGTCATGTTTCATTTGTGGAAAAAAATAGTGATTTATAAAGTATATTTTATTGATGAAGCTTGTGTATTCTTTCATTGCCTCAACTGTATTAATGAAAATACTGCATTGCCCCAAAAAAAAACTTCTGCATAAGTTTTATCAACATGAATAATGAGTGAAAATGTGCTTTTTCTGATATCTCACTGACATATAGAATATAAAGCAATCGGATCCAAGAGACAGTAAAATGACTAGTCAACGCTTGTATCGATACTCGCAAATTTTTCTTCTTCTATGGTTCAATATTCTCGGGGATCACATATATAATATGCTAAGCTGATCTATTGAATTGTAAATTGATATTAATCAAGAGTAAAACCTCTCTGTACTGCAAGCATTCAACACATTGGAATTGAAGGTACTTGTTTTAGACTTGACCGTGAGTTAAATGGAAAACATTTAAAAAATATCAAATAGCAGTTTTTCGAAATAAAAATTGTAGCTGAAGAGAGATTAGCACTGCGAATCTAACATTAATCTACCATAATAAGAATCTAGAGACAGATCAGAAATTTGTGGCATGGAAAAAGAACATCTCATCTGTTCAACAGTTATGAAATATTTTCATCACCTGTACATCCGCTCTCAGAAATGATTGTAAATTAACAAATTTGACAAAGTGAATGATCAAGTTATCAATAAATAAATTGTAGACACCAGTTGCACTGTTGTCCAAGTATTATAAACTAGTCCTTTTAGAAGTGAAAGTAAATGTTATTTATTAATTTTGTAGTTGATTTAAGTAGACAGTTGTATAGCTTGTTTTATTTGAATAAACTTTTTTCAAAAAATTTTGCTTTGTGTTATTTTTGTGTGATGTGTTTTGCATGTTAGTTTTGTAGGTAAGTTTTGGTCCACTTCTGCAAATTGACAAAATATCAAATTTCACTTGTTACTAAAAACGCTTTGAAACGTTCAACCATAATTTTACTTTAGATAAAAATAGGTAGAGTGAACAACCATTATTATTTACTCTGCAATCAAAACAATAACTTCATCAGGGTTGGTATACATTTACACCAAGTGGATGAATGGAAGAAAATCAGAGTTCCTGTCGATTTGTAGGGTAACATGAAAGTTCTTCACAAATTTTAAATTGCTACTGAATACATAATACTTCGAAAAATCTGGCTTTAATTTTTATTAAATTCTGAAGAGTACCGCCAATGAAAGTATATGTAAAATAGGGAAAACGTCCAACTCTCTTGTGATGTCCTAATCCAGAGTCCTGACAGCTTTAACTTACTCAAGGATTGAAAATATATTCATTTTTATCGAAGCAATTTTACGAGTTTTTTGGCTGTGGCCTGTAGGTGTCTATGTCTGACATTTAATTTGCTACTTCAGTAGACATTATCAAAAGCGATATGATGTCGAAGTACTTGAGTTGTTAACATAGAAACAACAATGCTAATATTGTTGAAAGTGGTTTAGGACATGCTCGTGACGTGTTATATATAGACGAATATGAATCAGAAAGCAAATAAACTAATAGAGGAAATAAAAGGAAATCTCAGAAACTATTCAATTAAATATTTAATTCATTTCAGTTTTCTTGAATATTCTGTTCGATCTTCCAGGTACACTGTTGAAACAAAATTGATGGTATTATATCCCTGATCAAACCAAAGACGGACTATCATATCAATTTACTGGAGGGTCTCTCTTCGATGAGAGTCCATTAAAATGCATTTAATTCCAAAACAACCTTCAAATGCGAATTTGATTTTGGAAAAAAAATGTATCAATACGATAACTTATATGGTTTTACTTTACCTATTTTTGATACATCGCAAGCAAGCCGCAAACTTTTCAGTATCATTGGTCAATAAGAAAGAGGAGATGATAATACATCAAAAGTAATGTCTTCAATGCATGAAGTGGACGTGTAGGCTAATTTTCCATCCCAGTGATTCAAAAATAATTTCTTTTTTTCAATAGGGACCCCAATTTCCCGTTAATATATCCACCAGCGTATGGCCTCCATTAGTACCACTCAGGGAGAGTCCGATTTTGGAACTAACTGAACAAATGGAGTCAATGTAATCATAAGTTTATTCAATTGGAATGTGAAGTACTCTTAAGATGATGAACAAAAGTATATTTGGTAGTGAATGAAATTTAAATTATTTTAGCCCTTTTAAATTATTTTTTATTGCAAGAATTATGCTTTTAGCCGTCAGTATAAATGGGGTCTGTATTTATAAATCTCTTCTGGACGAAAACCAACTAATTTATACAGAATGATTTATGCATGGACGTACTTTTTCGGAGAGATTTCAGAGAAGTGGAAGTAACGGGCATTTGCACCAAAATACAACAATAATACTAATAATCTTCATTTCGGTAGATTTGAAAAAAACAAGTATCGGATCCGTCACACGTCATATACATATATAATGGAAATTATTGTCAACAGTAACAATGGCTCTCAAAGAATAAAAAATTCTTAACAAATGCTTATACAAATATCACATTTCAAATGCTAAGTACTTAGACAGAGACTAAAAGAACTCCCTAAGAAGTTCCATCGCCTTATTTACAAAGGTTTTTGTATTCTGGATCAATTTCATTGAATTTGGTAACTTTTTGTATACTTAGTTTAATTGGTTTTTCGAATTCATGTATCTTTACGCTATAACAAAATCAAAGCATTACAAAGTACATTTTTCACTGACATAAATATTAGAATTATTCAAAAAGAAAATATGTAAGTATATAAAAAACAAAATGACGAGAAAACAATAGTGGGTATGATATTCAAAAAATAAGAACTCTAATTACTGAAGAAAATGAATCATTGTTAATATTATTCTGTGAGTTAAATAATAAGTATAAAGTCAATAAAACATACATAATTGAATAATTGAAAGAAAATGATGATGAAATGTAAAAATAATAAGAAAAAATATTTTAAACTAAGCAACTTCACGTTTTGATTGTTGGTATCCACAATCTACCTCTGGTGATAACTAAAATAGAAATAAACTCTACCTTCAACAATTTATATTTTTTCCGATACAAAATAAAAGACCAGAGAAGGTTATTCATATTCCTTGAATAATTATGGTCGAATTGTTGTAACGGTAGTTCTTATTGTACCCAGTGAGTTCCATATCAGTTCTTGTATAATTCTCTGTATCCTTGAAGAAAAATGCCTTATTACTTGTCACTCTATATAAATTATTATTTTCATTCAGTATTTTAGTGGTAACTCCAGTCATTTAGAAAAAATTCAAAATTAGATATAAAATCTCTTCCATATAGTTATGTGTGGCGAAATTGTCAACCTTTTGAAAAATAAATCATAATGAGCCTTTTTCCTGAGAAAAGTACAGCGAACGTGTCACGAGAGGCAGCACTAGTAGTAGGGACAAACATAAACTATTCACATGTAAAACAGTGTTATTTACGTAATATTAATTTATTATTTAAAAATATAAATCTGTTATAAAAAATTATTTTGTGCTAGTATAATGCAAACAAAGCATTGCTGTTTTGCGAATTGTACGTCGGATAATCGATATCCGGAAGAAAACGTGTTTTTTATACATACCATTTATAAAACCTCATATTAATACTCTCAGATGTAAGAAATGGGTACATGCTTCGAGAAGAGTGCAAAAAATAAATAAATATTCATATGTATGCTCTAAATATGAAATGAATAGTAAACTTTTCATAATTAATTACCATTGATTAGAATGAGATATAACCTCAATCGTTTATTAAACTATATTCATTTATTATATTCAATTGAATTTATTTCATTGCCATCTATATTTGATTCATATTTCACTCGGAAATAAATATGAAATTCATAATTATTTTAAATTTCTCTTATTACAGTTTGAATCTCCCGTACCTTTTTACTAGAGTCTGTATACTAACCTGTCTATTGATTCATTTTTTTTCCAGTTACTTTGAAATTACGGCATGCAAGCCATCGTTTTAATGTTACAACATTGTTATCCTTTACAGTTGCAAATTTCAGTTTTGCTCCAGTAACATTTTCTTGTGTTAAAAACATTCTTTTTTAATTGTACTTTACCATATGTTTATATGAGGATTAGGCAGTGTTTGTCCCTACCGAACTACTAGCGCTGCTAGTGTGATTTTTCGTACTTCAGGAAAAAGGTTCATTGACAGTGAAAAAGTGTTTTATGGAAGACAGAGTTGTTGCTCCTCTTTTTTATATATACGGGATGTCCTATAATTTCAATGCCATCTTACCTTAAAAAGTATCAAATGAAGATGACACAAAATGGGGGTCAAGACACTATTTACTAGTATTTATTATACCCTCAGAGGCCATTAAATGATTTCACGAGTCTTTGTTTTGCAAAGTAAAACAATATTGGCCTGTCTAGAATTTAACCTCTCAACTAATGGATTTAGTTAGCAAAATAAAGCCTGTGGCGAAGTATTATCTGAATCTATTGAAATGAATCTTTAATATAGACTTCTTTCATTCACTACCAAATTACTGTCAAGCAGTATCTCATGTTTTTAGAAAGTTATTTTCATACAAAAATTGTTATATCAATGTATACCTACCGATGATGTATTCAGCAAATAAGTGGCATTAATTATTAGCGAATTAGAGAAACTCATGCAAAACGAATTTAACATTTTGGATAAAACCTAATTTACATCAGTTTCATGATTCAAATATCGAGATAACTCAAAGTAAAATCAATAAGTTTTTTCTATATTTGAAGTATATTATCCTAATTTTAACCAATGCCCAAAAATGTCGGAAAATAGTTCCTATGAACTTGTGAAAGGATATGAAATAATGGCAGTTTCTGAATTCAAGTGCTAATTATATGGGGCATAATTAAAAGATATTATTCGAAACAAAAAAATCTGAATATCTTGAGGATTATAAACTATATTTGAATCTATTTCATTCTTTCTAATAACGTTTACTACGACCTAAATCTCTTCATTTTACATATAGTCAGTGGGCATACCTACTTGAAGACTGGCTATAAATCAAATCATCCAAAAGAACAATTCTTTCAGGCCATTCTCAACGTTGGATTATATCCGAAGAATCCTGCACTGACACCTGTCGGATATAATCCGACGCCCTTCGTGGTATTAGCCAGGGGAGTAGTTGTTTTCTGATAGGTGCCAGTCCATTAACCTACAGTGTAGGGAGTTGGGACTGGCCAAACAAATTGTTCTTCTAGATGATTTTTGATTTATTATAAACATTTTAAAGAGCAAATTATTCATCGAGAAAATGTAAACATTTTTGCAATATACTCTTGATGATTCGACATATGAATTTAGAAATACCGTGCAGATTTTGTTTATAGTCCAGTCTCAACAGACACTAAACAGTCACTCAATTGAATGTGTTTTTTAACTGTACCTATGTTCCTAATATATTCAAAAATATTTGAAATTATTTTCTATTTCAACTAATACCTAAGCAACAAATTTTTGTTCAAAACGCTAATACTTGTCACGACATAATTGTGATGTCACATGTTCCCAAACAATGGTAAACTGGTAAAGCAATTTCATTCGTAATTTATTTGATGAAAGAATAGTCTTTAGTTTCATACTATAAGAATTGTAGGATAGCTCACTAATCAAGTACTTCAATTAACACCCCTGAAAATATCGTAAATAATAGTGACGTTTTCTTATTCCGCAGGGATTCCACTTTTTTGCCTACTAAATCTAAAATATATTCGTCTGAAGATTATTTCCATGTAAGTTACTTACTTTCTCTATCACACGCCATTATTTTTCGAGTTGTGCAAGATGAAAATTGG